ATGTTCTTTATTATTATATGCTTTTAACAAAGTTATTTTTTTTTTATTGATTGCTTAAAAAAATTATAAAGGTGTTTTTGTTTATGCCTTGAGTTCATAACAATCAGAGTGGTTTGATGCTACATTAAGCTTCATTAGTTTTTCTTTTTATTTAAATAGATGACTATATTTTTAGAATAAACAAACTGATACATAACATTGTTTTTAAGTGATGTGCTGTGCTGATGTGTTTTTAAATATAAAAATTAAAATATTTAAATATTTAAATTTATGTTGTTAAATGATCCATTATTCGGATTCAATTTTTTATGCTATATATTTAATTAAAGAAAAACGCACTAAAAAAAAATTAATGAGTTTATATATATATATATATATATATATATATATATAAAATTTGGTGTTGATCTAACATAGCTTTAGACAGCAGAGAGTAATTATATGAACTTAAATTGGTTCATAATTTCTTGACTTTGAATAGCTGTTTTTATGCTTAGCTGGAATAAAATTTGATATAAGACAATTTCTTTAAAACTTATGCATTCATTCTAAGTGCCATTGCTTAGAATATCCATTTGATAAGGAAGTTTTTTAACTTTTTCTCTGTTGTTGTTATTACAGCCAATGCAAGCACCAAATCACAGACCTTTTAGTTCTGAAGCCAGCACTCTAACCACTGTACTTGTTTGAAGCCAGCAATTTGAAACTGCCATAGCTTGTTTCATATTTATTTTATGTCTCATATTCTTCAACACAAATTGATTTTATTTATGTCTTTGTAACAATAATAAAGTGATGAGCAGAAAAATTTTAATATATTAGAGCATAATACTTTATATAAATAATTTAAAAAAATATGTATTTGTTTGAACATATTTAGGATCAAACTTAAAATTAATTTTATATGTTTTTTATAAATTTTCTATTAAAAACAATATTCAATATTTTCATTATATGGTTCTGAAAATATACCAAAATTGATAAGGTAATGTTGGCAAACATTAGCCATTTTATAAAAGATGACAATAACTTTAAAAAGATGTTGAAATGTGCTACAATTTGAGGGTCTTGAAAACTAAAAAAATATGCTTATGATAATTTAAGAAATAATGAAACAAATTTTAAATTTATTGCTTATTTTTTACATCCTTATTTGTGTATTTAAACCAATAGCAAAGTGAAGTTGTAAAAAGTCATTGAACTGTTGTTATGAAGATTATATGGGTATTACATACTTTTTTTGTTATACTTTCATTTAATTTGAAGTGTTACTAGTTTTCTAATATGCAATAAGTTAAAATATTGGTTCAGAATTAGAACTCAAGGATACACATTTGAATCATTCACATAAATACTAGCTTTAGTAAGGCTAAACAAAATCCAAATCACAAGCATAGGTTTCTTGAAACACTAAAAAAAAGATTGTTTACTTAAGGTATATTTATATTCATATCCTTATAAGTATTATATATGTTATTTATAAATATATTATGTACATACTTCCCTCATGTGTTCAATATATAAATTTGTATTTATATAAGTTACAAACAATTTTCATGTATTTAATTATTTACAAGAAAATATAACCAAGGTACTTTGAATCTAGATACAGGAAATACTTTGAACCTAGATAGTACTTCTTGGAAAGTAAAGTATATAATTTTCTTTAAAAAGTTTTTGAAATTTTTCATGAAAGATCAACATTTTAATGTTTTTTGTTTAAAAAAATGGTGACCATATGGTATATAAAATTTATAATCAACTAATAGATTTGTATTTCAGTTTGATTGCTATCAGATATAATAACAAATGAAGCCTATATCAAATATTTAAAACAACAACAACATAACAGATTAAGATTTTTATTACTGTATTATTACTTGTAATTAAATTAAGCAATTTTTAAGGAATAATCGTTTAATATAAAAAACAATGATTAGATCACTAAACACCACAATTTTATTTTTCTTCATTTTTTTCAAAAATAAACCTATTTTAGCATTAAGCAATAAAGAACATTTTGAGATTATTATTTAAAAATAAATATCATTTTGAATAAGTTTTTTTTTTGCTATACCTTGTTGCTTCTTTTTAAATTCAAAACTATGAAAAGGCTATATTTTTTATCTTGAGCCTTTTTTTATTATTTCTCTTTTATAAAAAAAAATGAAAAATTTTCTTTTCATGTGTTAATTCAAATTGATTGAAAAGAAATTTATAAAAATGTTCATCATATGGCTTAAGAAGTAATACCTTTATTAATATTTAATTTGAGATTGTTGTAGCAATGAAAGTTAAAAGGTGATTTTTTTTTTGTTAAATCAGATATCAGGGGGTTTTACCTAATTATATTGAATCAAGATGTTTCACTCAATTATAGTTGTAATAACTTTTTTTTTTTGCAAGATCTTATGGAATTTTAATAAGCAGACAGCACATTTAAGTTATTTGTTTGCAATAAATGGCAGTTATTAGAGTATTTCATTCTTTATGTTAGATAAAACTGTAAGTACCCCTAAAAGTTATTTGAAATAACAATTATATATATAACACATATATCATACATTATTGCACATACACTGATATATATATATATATATATATATATATATATATATATATATATATATATATATATAATATATATATATATATATATATATATATATATATAAATGTAATATATATATGTATATATATATATTTATATTTATATGTAAAACATATATTTATATATATATATATATATATATATATATATATATATATATATATATATATATATATATATATATATATATATATATATATATATATATATATATATATATATATATATATATATAAATGTAATATATATATGTATATATATATATATATTTATATTTATATGTAAAACATATATTTATATGTAATATATATATATATATATATATATATTTATATGTAAAATATATATTTATATGTAATATATATATATATATATATATATATATATATATATATATATATATATATATATATATATGTATGTATATATATATATATAATAAATATATGTATGTATGCATTTATAAGTGTGTGTATATATATATTGTTTTATTCTTCACATAATGCATATATTCATTTACTTGTACTTTAATATAACTATACTATTGGAATATGTTGTGACTGCAATGTATTATTTATAAAAGTATTTTATTGAAATTATCTCTGCATAATCTATCTTTGGTAAACAAAAAATTTAGTAGTTCAAGTAAGTTAACTTTATTATATTTTACATAGCTAACTAAAAAGAAATATAATAAAAGTGAATCACCTAAAATACAATTATTATTATTTTTTTAATTTAAAATAAATTAATTTTTTTAGCTATTATCTATATTAAAAATAAAGTTTAAATAGAGGCTAAATTAAGTAGCCTATATGTAGCCTAAACAATAAAAAAGATTTTTTTTTATATTGAAGTTTATTTACTTTTTTTTTTCTGAGGTATTAGGATTAGTTCTTTTAATATTTTATCCTCAAGATTTTTTCATACAGTTAGATCTAGATAAGTTTTATTTGATGCAAGGAATTTATCCAGCACACAAATGTGTAGATATAAATAATAAAAGAGTAACTAAAAGTTTAACAAGCAACACAGTTTTTATTATTATTATTTTTATTGTTATTATTATTATTACTATTATTATTAATAGTAGTAGTAGTAGTAGTAGTAGTAGTAGTAGTAGTAGTAGTAGTAGTAGTAGTAGTAGTAGTAGTAGTAGTAGTAGTAGTAGTAGTAGTAGTAGTAGTAGTAGTAGTAGTAGTAGTAGTAGTAGTAGTATATAAAATAATAGTAATAATATAAATAAATATAATAACAATGGTAATAATAATAATAAAAAAAAAAAAATAATAATAATAATAAAAGAGTATTATATAAACATATAAGTTACATTGTGTCTTTTTTATTCAAACTTCTTAGAAATTCTTTCTTTATAAATTACATTGTGTCTTTTTTATTCCATCTTTTAAAATCAAATTAAGCATTGCTAACCAATCTATTCGTTAATAATTAAATTTAGCTTTGCAAATGTTTTTTTGAAATTTTTTTTTTACATGTATTTTTTGTGTTTGGTTGTATTACAAATGAGGAATGTTTTAATTCATTAAAAAAATGATTTGAATGTGTGCTGTTTTTTTTTTTTTCAACTTTTTTTCATTATCTGGAGATTGGGTTAAAACATTTTTTAATCTGAAACCTGAGTATTATGAGTCTAGCAAAAAGAATTTCAAATGCCTTTCTTTTTGGAAAGTTACATTTTTTGGGAAAAGAAAGGTAGTGCAATGTTATGTTTAACAGTATTAAGAATTTTCCAATAAATAAAAACAAAATATCAAAGCAAAAAAATTGTTTTAATAAATTATATATATTAGGATACAGAACTTCTATCTTCTTCTATCTTTTTATTTTGATCATTTTTTGTTATATTTTTTTATTTTTTGCTAAGAAAAACCTTGTAGTTAATCTTGAAAAAAAAAAAAATAAAAAATAAAAATATAATTTTTATTTTTTCCTTTCCTTGTGACATCGTCATTCAGTTTTACTTTCTTTAACAAACTATTATTTTTGGCTATTGTCAGATTATAAAAAAACATTGTAACATTTTTTGTTTGCTTTTGTAACATGACTAGGACCAAGAAGTTGTTGGTTATATAGTGTTACAGGGGGTATTAGGCTGTAATCAGGGTATATTTATAAATTTATCCATTAATGGCACTTAATATTAGAAAAAAAAATTATAAAATTTAAATAAAAAAATATAAATAATGATTGTTATACTGAAAGAATAGAAGCATTAATAATCTTTTTATACATTTTTTTTTTGTTTTACATTTGTCAATAACTGTTTTGTTTATTCATAATGAGTATTATTTGTAACATGATGACAATGTTTTTTTTTAAATCTATACAGATATAAATCAAAATGTACAGGATTTTATCTGTCTAAAGCAATGTACTTTTTTTGTCTAAAGAATTATATTTTCTGTTAATGCTTTATAAAAAACAATTATTTTAATTGTTACATCAAAGTTCAATTCATATTGAGATATAGAGCTTGAAACATTATGTGGTTTTTCTTATAAGATTTTAATTGTTTTAAAACATTTTTAAAAACTTATGATTAAAGGTGAACTTTGGATAATTGGTTTTACAAATCTTATGATAAGATCATGGCTTAAAAGGATGGATGACATAAAATAAATATTGTTTACATCCGCAGATTAATTTACAATGGATAGTTTTTTTTTTTCAAAACTAAAGGTTAATGAGCAAAGAAGACATACTGTACCGGTTCTTGATAAAAAGGATATTGCAGTAGCAATTAAGCAATCAGTGCTGGATGATACCAGCATTGAGAAACAAAAAGTTTTATCACTTTTTCCAGCTTGCGTTAAAAAACTAGTTTATTTTACATTAAATAATTCTGAAACAATTAAATTAATTTCTTCAGATGAATCTGACATTGAAGCAGAAACAGGACAATTCAATGATATGTAAGAATGAAAAACATTTGTTTCCTAAGATTATTGGTTTTGATATATATATATATATATATATATATATATATATATATATATATATATATATATATATATATATATATATATATATATATATATATATATATATATATATATGTATATACATACATACATATTTCTAAACAGTTTTAAAATTTTTTTTATTATAGCAACAGTTAATGATGTCAACCTGGTACTCAAAATAAGCAAAATTATATAAAAAATTCAAAAATGAAAATCATTTTTTATAAAAATTTTTTTTTTCAGATATAAATGCATAAAAACTATTGTTTTTATTTTTAAGCTGAAAATATTTTTAAATATTTGAAAATAGTTTTATTTATGAAAATAGTTTTATTTTTAAGCTGAAAATAAAAAAAGTCAATATTTTCAAGTTTTTTGAGAATAATTTTTTTAAACATGTTTTTTATATAAATTGATTATTATTTAGAAGTTTTTATATAATTTTACTTCTTTTGAGTACCAGATTGACATACTATAGAAGAACTTTTTTTTCAAAATATTAAGAACAGCCAAATTTTTAAGGGTCTTTGGTTACCCCTAAAAATATTTTTTGTTCAAAAAAATTTTAAACCTAGTGTTTTAGTATTATATAGAATAAATTAAAGGGGTAAGAGCAGGTTTTTTTCAAAAATGTTGTTTTAAGAATCACCCTAATATACATATATTTATATTATATTATATATATATATATATATATATATATATATATATATATATATATATATATATATATATATATATATATATATATATATATATATATATATATATATATATATATATATATATGTTTATATATGTATGTATATATATGTATTATTATTTTATTTATTTGTTTTTTATTTTTATTTTATTTGCCGTAAAATATTATTTACACTAAGATTTATAATATTATACAGGCAGGATTTCAAGAAGATCGTAATGACCTTATCACAAAGTCCTTAACAAAATTATATTTTCTTCTACAATAAAAACATCTATATACTATATGAAATAAATATATACAGAGAATATATAACCACTAAATATATCATAAATTTGATACTACATACTTCAGAAGTAAAACTCAAAATAAGTCAATATGCAATATAGCAACTGAAAATATATATATATAAAAAAAAAATTAAAAATAATCAAGAATATTTTTTGTTGAAGAAATGATTTTTTTAATAGATTGTTTGAAAAAGGAATAGGTCAATTTAGATGAAAAAACAAAATTTGGCCATATTATTTCATTCCAGAGAAAAGGTCCATGATAAGATATTCAAAGTTGAGCTTGTTTATTATTGCAAAAAGGTTTTTCGAAAATGCTATTTTTACGTAAGTTATATTTGCTTTAGGGTTTAATTTTGTTAAGGTTTACAAATACATAGGGGGCTTAAGTTCTTTATATTTGTACATAAGATACAAAACATTAAATACATTTAGTTGATAAACATTTAAGGCGTCCATTTCTTTAAAAAGTGGTTCAGAGTTCGAAAAACAATTTTTAATATTTATTATGCGAGCTGCGTGTTTCTGATGGTGATAAAAAGATTTAAGTTTAGTTTTATGTGTACTTCCCCATATAATATTTGCATAACTGATATGACAATCAATAAAAGTAATGTAATTGTGTTAATTAAAATACCTCTAGATTTGTATAGAATTCCAATGTTTTTTGTGATTCCAATGTGTGGTTTCCAAGACATTTTATTCAATAAAAACTCCTTAAAATTTTGTCACTTTTTCTCTTTTTAGGATGACATTGTCCATAAAAAGATTAGGCATATTTACAGGCAGTATCTGTTTTTTATAATTTCAATGAAAAAGTATCTATTCTGTTTTTTCAATATAAAGATTTTCAAAGTTTTTTTGAACCAAAATTGAATTTTTTCATGTTATTAAAAAGTGTTTTTATTTTTTCATGTGACTGAAACAAGTTTGTGTCGTCTGCAAAAATTATAATTTTTAAATTGGATACTTTGTTAAGATCATTTATATATATAATGAAAAGAAGTGGTTCAAGTATGGGTCCTTGTGGGACACCATATGTTATATTCATTAATATTTGAGGTTGGGAATCTTTGTTAAAAACAAATTACTTTCGTTTAGAGAGTTTTACCTGCTATGCCATAGCATTCAAGTTTTTCAAGCAAAATATTATGATTGACCATGTCAAAAACTTTTGACAGGTCAGTTAAAACACCAAGTGTAAACTTTTGATTTTTAAAAGATTCTTTAATACAACATGTTATTTGAAGATTAGCATGTTCGGTTGAGTTGTTTTTTTTTAAACCGAACTGATCTTCATAAAGGAGTTAATTGGTAATTAGGTATGTGTACACTCTGTTATATATTATTCTTTCTAATATTTTTGAAAAAACTGGAAGAACAGAATTAGGTCTGTAATTTGTTATATTGGTCGGGTCTCCTGTCTTAAAAATAGGGTTTACTATTGCTATTTTCAGAGAGTCTGGGAAAAAACCTTGCTTAGTGGATGATTTAAAGATTTTGTAAAGAATATCTTTCATGATGCCATAAGAGTCATCACAATATTTTCATTTATACTGTCAGGTATAATGGAAATATTGTGATGTCCAACTGATTTATTTCTTTTTAACAATCTAAAAGCTGTATCAAATTCCTTTAAGCGTTAGGTTTGTAAAATGTAAGGAGTTTGGCGTTTGAAGTTTATCTGTTTTTTTGTTTTTTTAATAGGAGCAAATTTATCAAACAAAATCCTTTTAACAAATTTATAATTTGTTAAAGGGATTTTGTTTGATAAATTTGCTCCTATAGTGGAAAAAAATTTGTTAAATTCAGTTGCAATTTCATTAGTATCATTAGTTATTTTATTTCCAACTTTTATGTGGTTAATGTAATATCAATTAAAGTTTGTAATTCTAGTTGGTCTATCTATTATTGGTATGGTTTCCATTTCAAATAAATTGTTATATAAAATGTTTTTATGTTTTGTTTTTTGCTATACTCAAAACAATCCAAGTTGAAGTCACCCAAAATATAACTTTTTTTTTTCTCTTGACTAGTTTTTTCTATTAGATTGTATTTCAAAAATTTACCAAGATTTTCTGTTCTTCCAGTTAGTGGCCTATAGCAACAGCTGATTAAAATGTTTTTAGAATTTTTGTTTATTAGTTCAGTTGTAAGATCTCTTGATCCGTATCAGAAACACTCATATTGCTTCTAACTTTGTAGAAAATATTTTCTTTCAAATAAAAAAGTACTCCTCCACGCCTATTATCCTTTCATTCTAAAAAAGTTTCTTTAAAAACTTGGAGAAGGAGATTAGAATTTGATTCAAAATCTACTTTAGAACACCAAGTTTCGGTTATCCAAATCACGTTAAAACAATTGTTGGTTTCATAAATTGAATTTAAAAAATTTTCAAAATTCTACTTTAAACTTCTAATATTCACGTGAATGCCATTAAAATAATCACTATTATCCACTCCTACTAAGTTACTAACTTCATTTAGTTGAAAATAAGAGCATACTAATTCAGGCAAATTAATTTTGTTAAAATTATTTATGTCTGGATCAGATTTAAAAACATTAATTTTAAACTTAAAAGCATTTTCTAAATTATTATTTACTTTTTTTATTGTTACAAATAACTTGTGAATGAAATGATTGCTTATGAATGAAACGATTGCTTCCCCATCCCAAAACCTCAGTCGATGTAGCAGCACTCCACTGCAAGTCAGGCTATTTGTCAGTCGATGTATGTACTGAAGCCCCCAGCAGCAGGCTATTTCTGTATAACGTCAGATTGCTTACCTTAGTACACAATACTATTTGTATATATATATATATATATATATATATATATATATATATATATATATATATATATATATATATATATATATATATATATATATATTATATGTATTTTATTATTATTGTAGTCTCAAAGGTGTTCTTTTACATATTGGAAACCATATCATTCTATTCAACACTTCAACACTTTTGAAGGAAGATTACAACAACATTAAGTTTTTACTTAAGAAGATAAACTAAAATAAGTATTAATCAAATGTATGTGGAAACTTGTAGATAATTAGCTTTATTCTTGACCTACAAGATGGATGCACTAAATATTTGTGTATCAACACTACCTTGCTCAAGACCAGCAGGCACAGAGCTAACAGCTGGTAAATACACAGTAATTTGTGATAGCTTGATTTCGCCAGAGAGTATTTTGCCAAATAATTCGTTCACTGGATTCACAGTCACCAGATTTCCAGTACATATATTCGGTGTTTCCTAAGTTATTGGATGCAAAATTGAAAGCTAGCATTTTCATATGTTACATGTTGAAGTCAAAGAAACTACGTTTATAGTTTTCAAAAAAATGCATAGCAAGTATTTAGACATGTAGCAATTCCTAGGAAATAACAGAAGTGAAGCTTACAAAAAACTAATGGAGAATTTAGTGACAACATATCATGCTCTTGGATGTCAAACATCACTCAAACTGCACTTTTTGTACTCTCACCTGGATTTCTTCAAACCAAATTTAAGAGTAGTATCTCTTAAATGCATGGTGAGAGGTTTTACAAAGATACATAAGTCATGGGTTAGATGAAGCTATGATGGAGGATTATGTTTGATAATACCAGGGCCATGGTGGGGGTTGAACCCGGGCTAAAATATTGTATGTTTTAATTGAGTCAGGTATGATAATTATTAGTCTAGTATTCTGAATTTTTTAGGTATTTTTTCTCGGTAGAAAACCTGATTAAAAAAAAATTTAAATAACCAAATTAAGATCTGTTTAATTAAAGTGAAATTGATGGTTAGAAAATCAAATGTTAAAATGTGTAAAAAAAGAAAAGAATTTAAATCAAATTTTAAAAGCTGTTAAAAAATGTTATTAAATAATTTTTGTTATATTTATTCACAAAAGAGATATGCGTTTATGTGGAGCATGAACATGCATCATTAATGTTTTTTTTTTGTTACCTTAATTTTGTTTGATAAAGTTTAAATAAAAATTTATTTTACTAATGAAAAACTAAATTAGAATCTACATTATTAATGATTCACATGATTTCAAATACCACTAATACGTTAAAAAAATTGATACACTAACATTTTGAATTTAAAGAAAATGTAAATTTGAAATTCATTTTGATTTTAGAAAAAAAGACTGTAACATGAAATTTTTTTAATAAATTCGCATTTTCAATTGAAAAGAAAACGTGCTTTAAAATGCAACAACAACATTTAAAACAATAGTATTATGGTACTTTGAAAACTTTTAAATTTTTATGCAAGCCTATTCTTTAAAATGCAACAACAACATTTTATAAAACAGTTTAGTGGGACTTTAAAAGGTTTAAATTTGCATGCAAAATATGCTAACTAAATTCAAATCGCTTTTTATTAAGTTTAATAAAATTAATGAATGAAGTGTAACTAAATAAACACGCTGTCAAATTTTTATTACAAAAAATATTTGTTTGTTTCTTAAGTAAAAACATTGAAAAAAAGTTAAATTTTAGAAATACAAATTTATTATCTATATGTTTACCTTTGGCTTTAATTATCTTATCAAGTCTTATGATAATCACATGAATCACATGCTCCATGAGTGTGAGCTTGAGAAATTTTAGCCCATTCCTGAAAAGGGCTGATTTTATCAAGTTCAAACTTTTATAATTTTTAGAACATACTTTGGCTTCTAGAATGCCTCAAATGGAGAAATCCATGGAATTTGCATCTGGTGAACTTGACAGCCATTGTTGAGACAAAATAAACCATGAAACATTTGCAATCAACTAATCTTGATTCACTCGAGCATTGTGTGATAGTGCTGAGTCCTGTTGGAAAGTCCATGGTCTGTTACAGAAAGAACATCGACTTTCCAACAGGACTCAGGTCTGTTACTTGCAGGTCAGGCTATTTATATGTGATACATTTATGTATCACATATAAATAGCCTGACCCGCAAGGGAGTGCTGCTACTTCAACTGATGGTATGGCATGGGGCAGCAATTTTTTCTTTCATTACTCTTTGTTTTTTTATTCTTTTTTTTTCTAAAAAGGTTAAGCACACATTTTTACCTTAAGAGTGCAAAAATAATATTAGGAAATTTTGATCTTACATATAGATTGAGTATAGGATATATCAAGCCTTCCCGTGAAGCATCTGCAGTTGCACGCCTTGTTCGTCCATGCTTAAAATAATTTTTTTAGACAATTTCACCATGTTTTTATATAGCGTTTGCAGACAGTTTTATAAGAATTTGCAGCAAAATAAGGCTATAAGAAACTAGAGAAAATAAAACAGCAATACTCAAAGAAAAACAAGTTGGCATGACAGTTACATTTGATATTTGCACTATTTACAAATTCACGTTATTTAAAAACTTAAGAAAAAACAAAGAAATTTTTTTTTTATTAATCTTACTTTTCCATCAAAATGTTTAGTAAAAGAAAAAAAAGATGTTATAGGCATGTAAAAAAAGAAATAAAATAAACATAACAAAATAATGCAAGCGCAAGAATCTTTATTTAGACAATTTCTCATATAAACAGAGCAAAAATAATTATTGAATTAAAAAAAAAAAAAAATTAGCTAAAAAATAGTACACATTAAATTTTATTTTAATATTAATCCCATTTTTTATATATTAAATTTTGTTTGTTTGTTTTGTTAATAATGATTGATTTTATCAAAAAATGAAAAAACATTAAATATTTCAAACTTTAAACAACAAACAAAAAAATTTCATTTATGGATATCTATAACTATATTATTAATTTTTTAGCTTGAATTTATGCTTGAAGCAATGGTCTTGCAATGTCATCGTTTATATTTATAAGTTTTATTTTACGAAACATAATAGTTTAAAAAAATAGTATTTTATATTAGTTACATCAGCTTTACATAATTAAAAGATTTTGCCGCATAAAAAAAGTAAAAACATAAATTTTCTTATGATTTAGAAAGAATTTTGAATAAAAAAATTATTTAATTAAAAAAAAGTTTTTTTTTCCCTTGGTTTTTCTTCCTCCCTTTCTATTTTTACAAAAAATTAAATTCCTTGTAAACATGTTATAACACTGCATCAAAAATATTCATAAAGCGTGTTTAACTTTATTCAAAAAGCATGTTTATCATAACCTACCTCATTTTTTTTTTAATTCCGAGGGTATATATATATATATATATATATATATATATATATATATATATATATATATATATATATATATATATATATATATATATATATATATATATATATATATATATATATATATATATATATATATATATATATATATATATATATATATATATATATATATATATATATATATAGCATAATATGATGTAATTGTTTTAAAAAAAAGGAAAGCTAGTAAAAGAAAAAGAGATTTAACTGATAAATATTTTTTTTTTAGAAAAGCTATGTCTGTTCCGCATTGTCCTGTAAATTCTGATCATAATGAAAAACTTCCACTTCCAGATAATGTTGATTGGACAGTACAGGCTGTTAATGGAACTCATATTTGGCATGATACTAGTACATCTGGTGGATGCATGTTACAGGATTGCAGAGTGTGTTAAAAGCATAAATGATAATTTCTTTTATAAGGTTTATTTTTATATGTTGTTTACCAGACCTCTTGAATTTTTTTGTTGCATAAACTTATCAAAATGACATTTATAAAATATGTTGAGACAAAAATTTTCAAAGTATTAAATTATAGGTTAATGGTCTATCAGATTTATCTAAAATCAGGTTTCTAACTGAAGTTAGGAACCATAAGTCATAATTGGACTAACTATTTTTAATTTTATATAAGTAAGACTGTGTATACAAGCCTATTACTCAAAGATGCAAAAAAGTAAAGCATTTTGTAATATATAATCACAATAGGTAAATCGTGTTGAAGTTGTTTAAATACAAGTTCAATAAAATTAGTGGTGTGTGTCATATTTTTTAAAAAGATTGCCTTTGTTTAGTTTTTTAAAATATTTTTTTTAAAATTGAAAAAAAAATAAACATCTTTTACGATTCTCCAAGCATTTAGAAAAACTTGTTAAAGATAATAGTTTGGAATCAATCAATGAATCTCAAAAATTATGAAATCTTCCTTGCTATCAATGGAAAGATTCTATAAAAAGAAAATTTTCAAGGTAATAAACTTTATTAAAAATTTTTTTTTTATTTTTTTCATGTATACATTATTTTATGAGAAAACTAAAGAAAATAAGCAGAAAAACTGTGTAAAAATAATTAATTGCCTAAAATTTCAACAGCCTTTGTTAATTTGAATAATGAAGAATAAAAATAAAAAATTTCGGCTACTATCCTTATTTGATGTAATGCGCTCCCTTGCATGTTCTCCCTAGATAGTCAGTCTATATATGTACCCTTTCAGCTCCTGTTATTAAGTTTTTTGTATATTTCAGTGGATGTATGTACACTCCACTGCAACTATGGCTGTATCATTGGTTTCATGTATGCATGGACTTATTCTATGAAACTTTGAAAAATATAAGCAATTTAGTTGCAATGTTATAATGAAAATCTTATTTAAAATGCTTGTTTGATGACTTTATAAGCTTTAATAGACATAAAATGTTTATTATTTTATAATTTAATACTATTACAAAGTTCTTTGAAATAGAATACAAAAAGCCAAATAATTAATTTTATATTAATGTAACATTAATATTAACCCAAGTGTATATTGTCTTTGTGTGCACAAACAATGTAAATGAGGATTATAGTTTAACAAAGCATAAAATATCTAGGGGGTACACAAATGATATAAACTAGTAATTTGAATAATAGTCAAGTTAAGTGTAAAGTATTTAAAATATTTACACTTAAATTTTTTACCCTTGACAATCGAAGAAAAACATTGCTTAACAAGATTACTCCAAGGTCAATTTCAGATTCTGTTATGTTTGAACCTAATAAACTTTTGTTCATTGATATAAAGGGGTGATGTTTGGTTATTCCAGCCTAAGTCCATAACCATATATTTCTAGAATTAAATTTCACAAGTTAGTCTTGAGTCCACTTAAAAGTCAAATGAAGATATGATCGCAAAGAAAGAGTTGATGTACAGGAAAGCATTTCATTCAAAATTTTAGTGTCATCTGCATACAGCATGGTTACGTTTTTTAGAGTTTCAGGCAAATCTTTTTATAAATAGCACAAGTAAGAGTGGTCCAAATACTGACCCCTGTGGCACACCTCTGGTAATTTCTGCCCAAGAGGATACATTTTTGCCCATCACAAATCTTTGTTTTCTTTCTTTTAAAAATGCTTAAATCCATTGAATTGTAAGACCAGATATTCCATAAGCTGTTAGTTTAATCAACAATCATGTGGCACTGTGTCAAACGCTCTGGCAAAATCATTTAAGCATGATTTATTTATATATATTAGAATATTTATAAAATTTAAAAAGTGAAAGTTTGAGTTACTGATTTATCAAAATATCTGTCTTTATTAAAAGTATTTTCGAGTTCATATCATATGAAAGCATCAATGTTAATTTTTGAAATTTTATTGATTCTATTGTTTGAAATTCTTTTTTATGAATTTTATTCAACCTAGATCTGAAACTAATATCTGCGCATGTAGAGACATTTCAATGCTAATGTTAACTAACAAGAATTAAAGAAGCTAGTTTTTTCAACTTGAATATTTAAAAATATTTCTTGTCATAATTTCCATGCAATTTTTAAATAAAAGCCTCTGATCAATCTATTTTAAAGAATTATGTAAAAAATGGTTCGACAACTATACACATCAAGAATTTACATGTGTTTGTTACATGTGTTTGTTACATGTGTTTGTTACATGTGTTTGTTACATGTGTTTGTTACAAGTGTTTGTTACATGTATTTGTTATGGAAATTTTTAAGCTTAAATTGGGATTTGCCACTAAATCAATAGAGATATTTTGTTTTCGTAATACTAGTGGGGATAAATTTGCATATAACAATATACAGACTGTGAAATGCGGTAGAGTTCCTTTTGCATTTAGGATCGTCAATTTGGAATTCGGTACCAATGAGTTGCAAATCAGCATTAACTCTGAAAAATTTTCATTTAAAAATCAAAATTGGATTCCAAAACATTCTCCCTACAAATTATGCATGACTTATGTCAAATTCATTTGATTTATAAAAGTTGCATGTTTAATTTATGCAAATTTTAAATAACTCATTATTTTAATTTTTGATTTTTGCTATTGATTTAGTAAGTATTTTCTTGATTTTTTAAATAATTGTTTGACTTGACTTTAAATAGCTTTATATAGAGCTACTTAATTTGTATGTAAAAGTGTCAACTGTAAATAAATAGCAAAAATAATAATCAATAAATTGCAAATTATTTTAAACTATTGTAAATGTTTAGTTATTATAAATAAAAACTGTATTTAAAAGCGAATTATGCAATTAGATCAAAGTATCAAACTCATTTATTTAAAGTTTTATTACTAAAAATTCTCTTGTGAAAAAATCCTCTCACAATAAAAGAAACTATTGAAGCTTTTTCTTTTCTTTTCTTTCGTATTCTCTAATTATTTCATTTTGTGTTATTGATTTTACATCCGTATAAATCAATTTCCTAATGCAATATATTCTGATTTTTTTGCAAAAGTGTAATTTAAAAAATATTTTAAGTGAGACGTCTATATTGAGTAAATAGGACTTTGTGGTTATTGACTCCATAACACTCATTTTACTTATATCAAGAAGTATATATATATATATATATATATATATATATATATATATATATATATATATATATATATATATATATATATATATATATATATATATATATATATATATATATATATATATATATATATTATATATATATTTATATATATTTATATATATATATATATATATATATATATATATATATATATATATATATATATATATATATATATATATATATATATATATATATATGTATATATATATATATGTATATAGTTTAAACTATATATATGTATATAGTTTAAACTATACATATGTATATAGTTTAGCACTTACGGGGACATATTATATATATATATATATATATATATATATATATATATATATATATATATATATATATATATATATATATATATATATATATATATATATATATATATATATATATATATATATATATATGTATATATATATATATATATATATATATATATATATATATATATATATATATATATATATATATATATATATATATATAATAAAATTTTTATGTTTGTACCAGCGATCTTTAAAGATCGCTGGTACAAACATAAAAATTCCTTTCAATACGAAAGTAAAGCTAACACCACAGAACTTTCGAAATATATCTGGGAAATGAAAAAAAAGGGATTTTCAAATCCTATTCTTACGTGGAAAGTTATTGATAGGGCGGAACCATTTAAACCTGGAGGAAAGTTATGTAACCTTTGCTTAACCGAAAAATACCATATCATCACGTCATCTTTGAAACTACTGAATAAACGAAATGAACTAATATCAAAATGCCGCCACGAAAACAAATTTGTTATTTGCAACTTTAACGTCATCTAAGCTAACACTGTATTGTATTTTTGTATATAATTTTTGTTGTTGTTACGGTTGTTTGTAACGTCTGATGATCGCATAAAGCGTGAAACTCCGAGTTATGTTTCAAATCTAATTGTATTTATTTTATTATTAATTTAATACATATTTGCTCTACTTTTGTATTGAGCACTCTCTACCGAGAAATTACTTTTATTATTGATATATATATATATATATATATATATATATATATATATATATATATATATATATATATATATATATACACACACTTACTAAAGCGTGTTTTGATAAGCATTTGCTCACTTTTTCTGCTTACCTTAAGCTATACCGTTTTTTTCGAAAAAGAAGAAAAATTGAAGAATGATGAATGAAACGATTGCTTCTCCATCCCAAACCCTCAGTCGATGTAGCAGCACTCCACTGCGAGTCAGGCTATTTGTCAGTCGATGTATGTACTGAAGCCCCCAGCAGCAGGTTATTTCAGTATGACGTCAGATTGCTTACAATAGTACGCAATACTATTTGTGTATATATATATATATATATACATATATATATATATATATATATATATATATATATATTATATATATGTGTAAACATATACAATTTTTTTTAATTTAAATTTATTTTAATTTTCTGTTTTGTTAGTTTTGCTTTCTTTGTTTTTAAAACTTAGTTTTTTCCGCAATGCCTAATATAATAAAATTTTCAAACTGCCGTGACCAAATTGTCTAGAATAAAATACTTATGCGTGGACATGCAAGACAAAAAACCACACGGGTTTCCTAGGAAAACTTGGAATATGTTGTAAAAAGCAGAATCTTTAAATTATAACATTGTACTGTCATTTTACTTGGTAAAATAAAAACAATTTTTTTTAATCAAACCATAATTTATTCATATATTTGTGCACAAGTGTGTCCAGACTTGAGTTTTGTGTTAATTCCCATTAAATACAAATTCACAGTTACTTCACT